ATGTTTTTAAGTTTTGAATAAAACATTTTAGAGTTGCTAATATATATATTTACTGTATTTGTCTTTTACAGAATACCCCTTACTGTAATAGCCTTAAAAATCAGAGTCCATTAGTAATGTGGTAACAAGTTAGATCTCCTTCTCTGATGAGGAGTAATGATAATAGACTCCCTTTAAGCTTGATATATATTTTACATGTCATTCTTTCAGTAAACCTAATTGCAGGACTGATACACTTCATATATATATATATATATATATATATATATATATATATATATGTAATTATTTTTTTTTAAAAATGAGATGAAGTCTCACTCTGTTGCCCAGGCTGGAGTGCAGTGGTGTGATCTCGGCTTACTGCAACCTCCGCCTCCCGGTTTCAAGCGATTCTCCTGCCTCAGCTTCCCGAGTAGCTGGTATTACAGGTGTGTGCCACCACACCCAGCTAACTTTTGTATTTTTAGTAGAGACGGGGTTTCACCATGTTGGCCAGGTTGGTCTCGAACTACCCGACTTCACGTGATCCACCTGCCTCAGCCTCCCAAAGTGCTGGGATTACAGGCATGAGCCATCGTACCCAGCCCTCTCATACATTTCTTTTCATGTCTTTGTCTATGTATTTAAAAAATATAGTTGATATGCTATATATAGAATTTCTATCCTAACCAGATATTTGTATCTAATTATCATAAGTAGCATCAGGAATATTATAGGTACATGTCACATAATGGCTAAATAAAAAGTCTAAGGGAATTTTAAAATACCCTTTATAAGAGCCACAAAAAGAATAAAAGAGCTAGGAATAAACTTGATAAGAAATGTGAAAGATCACTTTGAAGAAAACTTCAAATACTAAGATAAAAGGATGACTTGAATATTTGAGATAGAAGAAATAGGAAAATCTTGAAAAAGAAGATTAGATTGACAGGGGAGAGTAGAGTGAGGACTAGTCCTACTAGATACAAGAATACTAGATACAAGATACTAGATACAAGATACAGAGCAGTGGAACAGGATAGAGTCAAATATATATGAGGAGAGTTTAGTGTATTATCAAGGAGGCATTTCAAATAAGGTAGATTATTTGATACATGGTAGCAGTGGAACAGGATAGAGTCAAATATGCATGAGGAGAATTTAGTGTTTATAGGGGAGGCATTTCAAATAAGGTTGATTATTTGATACATGGTGTTGGAGCAACTTGGTAGCCATAAGGAATAGAAACTTAAGATTCCTACCTAGCTTCATAAATAAAAGTTAATGAATTCGCAAGTCATAAATTAAACAGTGATGAGTTTCACTGTGTATGAATAAGGAGCTTCTGTATGGCAACAAAATATGAACACTAAGAATTAAAGTGGGGGAAAAGATTTCCCCTACTTATAAATGGCCTATTTCCTACATAAGTAAAAAGCCCCCATAAATAAGTGAAAAACTCACAGCAAAGTTGGCAAAATATATGAAGAGAGTATACAGAAAAGGAAATATACAGTGTAAAAATTTTTTTGAAATATTATAACTTCATTTATAATAAAAGAAATTCAAATCAAAACTAGAAGTTAGTGCATTTTTCACCTATTAGATTGGCAAAGATCAAGGAGTTGGATCATATACTACATTGTCATGGGCATGAGAAACCAAGTACTCTTGCACAGTATAAATGACGACAACCTCTTTGCAGGGGAGCCTGATGATAGCTATTAGGTTGTAAATGTATATATTATAATGTCACCTCTACGGATTTGTCGTAAGATATATTCATAAGATCACAAAGATATATATATAGTCAGTGCGGTAATGTAGTAGGGGAAAAAAGGGCAGTATAAAGGTTCATTAATAGTAGACTGTAAATAAAATTGTGGTACCTTTCTATAAAGAGGCAAACTTGCACCAGTGTGATACCACATGAGAAATCCATTGGATTTTGTTTTTTTGTTTTTTTAAGACGAGTCTTGCTCTGTCACCCAGGCTGGAGTGCAAGGGTGCGATCTTGGCTTACTGCAACCTCCGCCTCCTGGGTTGAGGGGATTCTGCTGCCTCAGTCTCCTGAGTAGCTGGGATTACAGGCATACAGTACCACACCTGGCTAGTTTTTTGTATTTTTAGTAGACGCAGGATTTCGCCATGTTGGCTTGACTGGTCTCGAACTCCTGACCTCAAATGATCCGCCTGCCTTGGCCTCCCAAAGTGCTGGGATTACAGGCGTGAGACACCTTGCCCAGCCCTATTGGATTTTTTTAGACAACAACAACAAAAAACAAGGTGCGGGAGAGAATTTGTGGTACTGTTACAGTGTGTGTGTGTGTACATTAGAACACCTCTGGAAGAATATGTAAGCAACTGGAAATAGCAGTTGCCTCCGGGTAGAGGAAACAAACAATAGGGATGGGAATGAGGGAGGCCTTTTTTTTTTTTTTTTTTGAGACAGTCTCACTCTGTCACCCAAGCTGGAGTGCAATGGGCCGATCTTGACTTACTGCAACCTCCGTCTCCTAGGTTCAAGCGATTCTCCCACCTCAGCCTCCCAAGTAGCTGGGACTCCAGGTGCCTGCCCCCACACCTGGCTAATTTTTGTATTTATAGTTGAGACAGGGTTTTGCCATTTTGGCCAGGCTGATCTTGAGCTCCTGATCTCAAGTGATACGCCTGCCTCAACGCCACACCTGTCTAATTTTTGTATTTTTAGTAGAGACAGGTTTCGCCACATTGGCCAGGCTGGTCTTGAACTCCTGACTGTAAGTTATCCGCCCATGTCTGCCTCCGGTAGTGCTGGGATTACAGGTGTGAGCCACTGCGCCTGGCCTAGGGAGGCTTATTTTTCAGCATAAACTCTGAACTTGTACTGTTAAAAAAAATTGTTTTTAATCATAAGCCTATATAACTTAATTAAAAATAATTTAGTGGTAAATTATTGCAAAATGTTCTTTAAAATAAGGTAACCATTGTTTGAATCTTTTTAAAAGACATAATCCTCCAGATCATCTAATATTATTTAAAGTGTTTACTTAGTGTCCCATTACAGGATACAGCTTCATTTAAGGATCCCTTAACTCTAACATTTTAGAACAAAGTGTTAGTTACTATTATCCTTAGCTATTCTGAATAAGTCTTTTCATAACAGGTTTATTGAGATATAATTTATATACTATCCAGTTCACCCATTTAAAGTGATTTTAGTATATTCTACAGAGTTACGTGCCATCACCACAATTTTAAAAACACTTGATAACCCCCCAGGAGATACCTTTTTAAATTCACCCCCTAATTCCTCCCAAGTCCCCCAGCCCGTAGGCAGCTGCTCATCTGTTTTCTTTGTCAATGGATATACCTATTCTGGACATTTCATGTAACAGAATCAAACAAGGCTTGACATGGTGGCTCACGCCTGTAATCTCAGCACTTTGGGAGGCCGAGGTGGGTAAATCACGAGGTCAGGAGTTGGAGACCAGCCTGGCAATATGGTGAAACCCTGTCTCTACTAAAAATACAAAAATTAGCTGGGTGTGGTGGCGCGCTCCTGTAGTCCTAGCTACTTGGGAGGCTGAGGCAGAAGAATTGCTTGAACCTGGGAGGCGAAGGTTGCAGTGAGCCGAGATGGCGCCACTGCACTCCAGCCTAGGTGACAGAGCGAGACTCGGTCTCAAAAAAAAAAAAAAAAGGAAAAGAATCAGTATGTGATCTTTTATGACTGGCTTATTTTCAGTCTTTTACAAGAAATTTCACTATGCAAGTGATAGGAGAAGAACCTTGACGACAAGGTTCATCTATATTGTGGCCATGTATCAGTACTTTTATGGCTGAATAGTATTTTATCTGTGGAAATTATATGGAAACAATACTTTTCTTCTTCAGTTGATGGACATCTGGATTGTTTTCATTTTTTGGCTGTTATGAATAATGCTATAATGAACATTTGTGTACTAGTTTTTGTATGGATGTATGTTTTCATTTCTTTCAAGTATATACCTAGGATTGGAATTGCTGGGTCATATGCTAACCCTATGTTTAATATTTTGAGGAACTGCCTGATTGTTTCCAAAGTTGCTGTGCCATTTTACATCTCTATCAAGTGTACGAAGGCTCCAATTTTTTACATCCCCACCAACACTCGTTATTAATATTATCTGTCTTTTTTTTTTTTCCTGAATAGAGCTTTACTTTGTTGCTCAGTGTGGAGTGCAGTGACATGATGACAGCTCACTGTAGCCTTGACCTCTCAGGCTCAAGTGATCTTCCCACCTCAGCCCCTCTGAGTAGCTGGGATTACAGGCATGTGCTGCCACACCTGGCTAATTTCTTAATTTTTTGTGGAGACAGAGTCTCACTATGTTGCCCAGGCTGGTCTTGAACTCCTTGCCTCAAGTAATCCTCCCCTCTCAGCCACCCAAAGTGCTGGGATTACAGATATGAGCCAGTGTGCCCTGCTTTCTCTGTCTTTCTAATTATAGCTGTTCTAGTGAGTGTGAAGTGGTGTTGCTTTGTTTTGTTTGAGACAGGGTCTCATTCTTTTGGCCAGGCTGGAGGGCAGTGGTGTGTGATCTCAGCTCACTACAACCTCTGCCTCCCAGGCTCAGGCAGTGCTTCCACCTCAGCCTCCCAAGTAGCTGGGACTCCAGGCATGCGTCATCATGGCTGACTAATTTTTGTATTTTTTGTAGAGACAGGGTTTTGCCATGTTGCCCAGCCTTCGTGGTGGTTTTGATTTGCATTTCCATGATGCTGAATGATACTGAGCATTCTTTCATATGCTCATTTGTCTGTCTTTTTATATTTAATACAGATGTTGTTGCCCGCCATTCCTAAGATGTATGTGTGCTCAGTGTATTTGCATGTCCAGATTTCACCATGAAAAGTCCATTTTAGGAGCCCGTCTATTGTCAAACTGGACATTTTAGCCACTGTAAGAAATGTGACCTTATCAAGCCCTATTAAGTCACTGTTTATAGTGATTTTTCTGATCATGTCTTTGTTAAGTTCATGTTTTATTTTTCTTGCAGTATTTCACTGGCCTTGAATGTGGACATAAGTTTTGTATGCAATGCTGGAGTGAATATTTAACTACCAAAATAATGGAAGAAGGCATGGGTCAGGTAAAGATACCAAGTTGTTTCTCACTTTTTTGTTGAATTTCCTATAGTGTTCAGACCCTTGCACAAATTTGCACAAATAAAAACAGGTGAAGCTTTGTGTATCATGAATCGCATGGGGAACATTTTTCTAGATTCAAACAACTAAAGGTAATAGGCTTTTTCCTAAAGTAATGTGGCATTCCAGTTAAAGAGCCACTCCAGGTAATGTTTTCTCAGCCGGCATCAGTATTGGTATATGTTAACTGAAACTTGTTACACAGTTTTGTAAGATTAGCTTGCTTCTGCCTTTAAAGTTGTGTGTTTAAAAACCAATCACTCAGGTTAGCAAGTCTAGTTGCTTTATGGTGATAAATATACTCTCACACACATTTCCTTTAAGGAGAAAGGGAAGGACTGAGATCCTATAAACATTAAGATATTCCCAGAACCTAGCAAAGTGCCTGGCAATGGTAAGCATTCATTAAATATTTGTTGAATGAAGACAGTTTAAATTTCAATCTTTTTCAGACTATTTCATGTCCTGCTCATGGTTGTGATATCTTAGTGGATGACAACACAGTTATGTAAGTATTTTTGATAGATTCTGCATGTGAATATTGGTTAGTTGGTTAAACCAAATTAATTTTTACTTAGCACCTCAAAGGAAGTGAAACTTCTCAAAGTCTGAAGAAACTTTTACATCTACATTCCATTCCTTAGTAGCAGTACAAAAGTCCATTTGTAACTTGGTTAAACGCCTGATCACTATTCTTACAAACTTAGAAATGCACGGTATTACAAACTTAGAAATGCACGGTAGCTAGCTAGATTTTGATAAACCTTGGGATTGGAGATTAGAATGTGCATATGTGTTAGTTGAGGTGCTCTTGGAAGCAGATCCCAAGATAGAAAAAAAAGTGAAACTGACTCATTGTGGAATAGCATATGTGTAAGGTAAACAGCAGAAGCAGATAGACATTGATGTAAGCCTGACATCTGTTAAAGGCAAGAAAGAAGGAAGATTCAACAGGAAGAGACTTCACATGATACAGCTATGAGAGTCTTTAGCAGCCCTGTGGGGGAACTTCTGTGCATAGATTGCCTATAGAGGGATACCTTAATAAGTAGAAAGAGCTGGGCCCAGTACGCTTGATATGCTCAGTCATTGACGGAGACTACCCAAGGAATCGTGGTCTTTGCTGAAACACTGCTACTGATTTCAGATACACTACAGCTGGAGGCAAGCTGGAGGCTTTCAGCTAACGACTCTTCTTGTGAAAGGTTCTTTCTTTTTTTTCTTTCAACTTTTATTTTAGGTTCAGGTGTACATGTGCAGGTTTGTTACATGGGTAAATTCCTTGTCGGTAAGCTTTGGTGTACAAATGATCCCATCACCCAGGTAGTGAGCACAATACCTGATAGTTTTTCAACTCTTGCTGTCCCACCCTACTCACTCTAATAGTCCCCACTGTCTTTTATTCTCATCTTCACGTGTATTCACCGTTTAGCTCCCACTTAAAAATGAGAACATGCGGTATTGAGTATTTCTGTGTTAATTCATTTAGAATGATGACCTCTAGCTGCATTTGTATTGCTGCAAAGGACATGATTGTGCTGTCTTTTTTATGACTGCGTAGTGTTTCATGGTGTACATGTGCCACCATTTCTTTATCAGTCCACTGTTGATGGGCATCTAGATTGATTTCATGTGTTTGCTATTGTGAATAATGCCACAGTGAACATACTAGTGAATGTGTCTTTTTGGTAGAGTGATTTATTTTCCCTGTGATCTCACCAACATCTGTTATTTTTTTACTTTTTAAAATTATTTTTTTGTTTTAATTTTTTTTACTTTTAAATAATATTCCTTATGACTGGTATGAGATGATATGGTACATCATTATGGTTTGATTTGCATTTCTCTGATGATTAGTGTTATTGAACTTTTTTTGTATCTGTTGACTGTGTGTATGTCTTGAGAAGTGTCTATTCATGTACTTTGCCCCTTTTTTTTCTTTTTTTAAGTGAAAGCAAATTTATTAGAGAAGTAAACAAAGGAATGGCTACTTCATTGACAAAGTAGCTTGCTTATTTTTAAATGGGATTATTTGTTTTTTGCTTGTTTAAGTTCCTTTTTAGATTCTGGATATGAGGCTTTTTTTGGGTGTATAATTTGAATATTTTCTCCCATTCTGTAGGTTGTCTGTTTACTCTGTTTTAATAGTTTCTTTAGCTGTACAGAAGCTCATAAGTTTAATTAAGTCCCACTTGTCAATTTTTGCTTTTGTTGCAGTTGCGTTTGGGGACTTTGTCACAAATTCTTTGCTAAGGCTGATGTCTAGAATGGTATTTCCTGGATTTTCTTCTAAGATTTTTGTAGATTGAGCTCTTACATTCAAGTATTTAATCCTTTAGTTAATTTTTGTATATGGTGAAAGATACAGGGGTTAAGTTTCATTCTTCTGCATATTGGTTTGCCCATGCTGGAGTGCAGTGGTGCCATATCGGCTCACTGCTACCTCTGCCTCCTGGATTCAAGCAGTTCTCCTGCCTCAGCCTCCCGAGTATGTGAGATTACAGGTGTACACCACCATGTCCAGCTAAGTTTTGTATTTTTAGTAGAGACAGAGTTTTGTCATGTTGGCCAGGCTGGTCTCGAACTCCTGACCTCAGGTGATTCGCCTGCCTTGGCCTTCCAAAGTGCTAGGATTACAGGCATGAGCCACCGCACCCGGCCAATAACCATTTTCAGTTTGTGATGGCAACAAATCGTTGCCAAGAGAATTGTCTTATAAATGACCAGAGTGACACTTGTTGCCACCTTCTTGAGAATGCCTAGTCTCGAAGATGGATGCTCACTTTCTTTTACTTCCTTATCAATATCGGATAAACTAAGGGCAGAACCTTGTCCTAATAACTATTGGCTGACGTTTGCTGTCACCGGTCCTGGTGGTCCATGCCAGGTTTAGATAATTTTTTAGGCTAAGGTCAACTATCAGAAATCATTAGGATTTGTCATACCCAAAAAGCATTATGGGTAATACATGTGTAACTAAGGTGCGTTTGTTTGGCAAGCAGGGCATCTGACTTTTGGCCTGATAACATTCCTTATTATTATTTATTGATATAAAATCTGTAACATAAAACTCATTTTAATTACAGTCATTCTTAGTGTACTGGGGATTGGTTCCAGGACCTACACCCTACACCCTGAATATACCAATCTGCACATGCTCATGTCAGCCCAGCAGAACCCATGTATACAAAAATTCTACCATCCATATATGCAGGTTTCACATCCCACAAATAACTATTTTCGATCCACATTTGGTTGAAAAATATTCATGTGTAAGTGGACCCATGCAGTTCAAACCTGTGTTAAGAAGCAATGGGTTTTTTTTGTTTTTTGTTTCTTTGAGATGGAATCTCTCTCTGTTGCCCAGACTGGAGTGCAGTAGTGGCATGATCTCGGCTCACTGCAACCTCCGCCTCCTAGATTCAGGTGATTGTCCTGCCTCAGCCTCCTGAGTAGCTGGGATTACAGGTGCCCGCCACCATGCTCAGCTAATTTTTTTGTATTTTTAATAGAGATGAGGTTTCACCATGTTGGCCAGGCTGGTTTTCAACTCCTGACCCCAAGTGATCCGCCCACTTCTGCCTCCCAAAGTGCTAGGATTACAGGCGTGAGCAATTGCTCCTGGCCAGCAACTGTATTTTTAAGTATGTAATCCAGTGGCTTTTAGTATATACATAATATTATTCTAGAAACATTACCTAATTGCAGACTGTTTTGATCACCTTATATCTATTAAGCAGTCATTCGCTACTCCTTTCTCCCTCTCTGGACATTTCATATAAATGGAATCATATAATATGTTGCCTTTTGTGATTGGCTTCTTTAATGTTTTCAAGATTCATCCATGTTGTATTATCAATCAACACTTTATTCCTTTTCATTGCTGAATAATGGTTCCATTCATTATATGGACATTTCCATTTTTTACGGAAATGTGTTATGTGAACATATGAACATTTGTGTACAAGTTTTTCATTGAACACC